ATGATTCTCAAACATTCAATAGACCTACATAAAAAACAATAAATGAATAAAAACCCAGTCAAACCATCAATCAGTCACAGAAACTATTAACATGTAGCTGAAGCAGCTGACCTCACTAGTTAAAGAAAATCAAGTTTTTAGTGTTGTTTATGTGTCTATGTGGTGTTTTTAATGTGCTTTAAGACAAAACATGAGTAAATTCATGATTGCTGAGTATTTTCTGCTTAAAACTGCTTGTGTTTTAGACATCACAAACGACCTTTTAACCAATCAGATCAACCAGTGGATCTCTGAGTTGAGGGACTGAAGGCGGGGCTCATTTGCATATTCATAGAACCGCGCATTCTAAACGGCAAGGGTGTCGAGTTACATTCAAGATATTTTAAGGCATGAGGACCAAGGAAAAAACATTTAAATATGTAATTTTGGTGATCAAAGATGCGTTTTAAGTGATAAAAATGATTGACTACAAAGGGACTACATTCTTAATTTATATTTAATTCTTCTAACCTAAATCGCCGCATCCGTCCAGCGAGGAGTTGAAGCTGCAGGCGTAGGTGTGAACGGGGATGTAGGACGCTGAAGAGTTGAGCACTGGATCTCTCACAATAACAGAGAAAATCACACCCTGACCCGGCAAAGAGTTGAAGGAGAACTGCGTCCGCTCGCGAGAGGATAAAGTCACCACCTGAAAGAGTAGAATAAACTAATCAGTGACACTTCTCATTAGCTAATTTATTACCTAACAATAAGTGAGCCGTTATGAAAATATTCATATTCATGTTAGTTCACAGTGCATTAACTAACGCAAACCTTTGATCTTTAACATGTATTAGTAAATGTTGAGATAAACATTACCTAACTATTGTTGTTTGTTAGTTCATGTAAATAAATTAACCCTTAATGTAAATTTACAAATAAATAAATAAAATACATTTTATTTGATCAAAAATACAGTAAAACAGAGAAATATTACAATTTAAAATAGCAGATTTCTATGTGAATATATAGTAAAGTGTAATTTATTCCTGTGATTTCAGCATCATTACTCCAGTCTTCAGTGTCACATGATGACCCTTCAGAAATCACTCTAATATGAGGATCTGATGCTCAAGAAACATTTATGATTATCATCAGTGTTAAAACAGTTAATGAGTGTGACTGGCATGTTCATATCAGAATAAACAAACAAAACTAAACTAAAAAAACACACACTAAAACAACATAAGAAAGTCGTAAGTAAGAACAGAGAGAGATTTCACACACTTTTCTGCTGTTGTCCTGCAAGGTCTGCACATTGGCCACTCTCTCCATACCGCTGATCAGACTCCGCTCCGATAGGTCGCCTTCCGGGAGAAAATACTGATACACGTCATAAACCAGACGCCAACGAGAACTCGAGCCTGTGTCCACATCACACGCTGGAGGAATTTCCCCTCTGAAAAAAAATATTGTAGCATTTATTATAAATGATTGATCTGTGCATTTTATTCATGTGCCTCGTAATCTTGAATCCTCTTGTAGTGAGGGCGGAGCAACCTGTCACTCATATGAGATCAGCCAATAGCAAACCACAACCATCCACTCCATTCCCTACAGACAAAATCAAGCCCTGCCCACATCGGTTCTTCTCCCAGAGGCCGTTTAACTCGGATATACGCCACAATATACTAACGCAACTTCAGTTTCATGTGTTTGAAGACAATGATTTTATCATCCATTGATTTTAATTATAGGAAAAAGCTGGTTAGGCCTCTTGGAATTGCTCTGTTTATTAATTTTTACCTTTTTCTGTGCTATTTTTGTCTTCTGGCTTTTTTCTCTCACATTATAGTACATCAATGACTCATCTGCCTCTAATTATTAATAAGACGTCCGCATCCTTATCCTCTGAGAAGAGACGCTTCTCTTAATTATTTACGGGCAAAATGTGTTGCTTTTCACATGATAGAGGCTTAAAACTGTGACATTAAGTACAGTAGATGCAATCATGCAATCCTGTGTGGCTTATAGTGTATGACCTATTATATTGCCCTGATAAGTTCTCGACTTCTCTCACCTTTCATATCCGATGTTAGCAGGTGCAAAGGTAATCGTGGTCTCAAACAAGTTGTATAACAGGTAGATGTTTGGATCATTATCCAGTGCAAATTCCAGATTACACGCTCCTGGAACGGGATCTGCACACAACAAGACATTGCACTCACACACACACGCACACACTGAATATTCTCTCACACAGGTGAAGTGTTAGTTCTCTAACCAGTGCTGGTGTATGGCAGAATCACACCAACTCCGACTGTGCTGCTCCCGTCGGGTGTCTTCAGGAACCAGGAGAGAGTGGTCTGGCTCGGGATCAGGGTGGACAACAGTCCAGCATCCACTGCTGTGACCGAAAAACCATACAGAGGGACCTGACCAATACACAAACACACACACACATATATATAAATATGCACTCTATATATGGAAGTAACATTGGTTCTGAACAGCGTTTCATGTTGACTTTTAACTACATGTCTGATCGTGTGTTCGGTGCACTACAGCTGCGTGACTGCTGACATTATGAATAGAATGCATGGAGTGTGTGTGTGTGTGTGTGAGTTGAGATCAGAGCTTGTGATTAAACTCTCACATGATGTCTTGCTCGCTCAACCCCCATGCAACTGGGTCAGCAGTGTGTGTGTGTGTGTGTATTTCTTACTCGTGTATGTCAGTGCTGTCTGTGTGTGTGTGTGTGTGATAACTTACCTGCGTGTATGAGAGTGTAACATTGCTATGTTGGGTGTGAAACTGCAGTGTTATGAAGGAAACGTCAGCAGGAATCCGGGAAACCACAGCTTGAACCGTCCCGTTCACTGGGACACTCACATTCTGGAAGGTTCCCAAAGAAAACACCACACGGTCTGCAAAACACAAACAAGAACATGATTGAATCTGAATATTATAATAAAAGTGCAATATTTGACCCCTGGAGCTGTTTTACCCATTTTTCAAAAATTTTCTAACCATAAAAAAATGTGTGATTTGATGTTAAAATCCTTTTACAGATTATATAAGTTTAAATATTTAAGAAATAATTATTTATTTATTTATTTATATATATATATATATACATACATATTTTTTATATCATATATAGACAGTTACTATATCATCATTTAAAAAAAAATATCTAAATTAATTTCTCGGTACAAGAAGTCTTAATACTGGGGCAAAAAAAATGTTTTAACTTTTTTCTATAGTTCAAGTATTAGAATTGTACATAGCTTAGGTTTATAACATTATTTATAAATAAAAAAGGGATGTTTTTGGCCTCGATATAAAGAGCTCATCAGACAGAGGAGAGACGCCATTGAACGCACGCTTCAAGAGGAAGTGGCTTTTGACAGTTTATGTGATTTGGTGTGGAAAGAAGGGTCACGGTTGCTCTGACTTCCTGCCTGACTGTGAAATCCTGCCCAATAATCAAGCCATCTGATTTCACAATGACTCACACCTGTGGTACATCAAAACACCAAAAACCTGAAAGCAAACTAGAAAGATGCTACTTTTACAGGAGGTCGGAAGCCAGTAAACGCTCGTTTTCTCTAAAACCTCTCTCTAAATGTTCAACAAACAGTTTTAATGTCCGCAATATCTTTGTTTTGAGGTCTGTAGAGATCTTGAAGACGGAAATCACTTCACTGCTCTGGAAGAATCTCTCTCTTTCTCTTTTAGGAATGTGGAAATAGTTTCTAAATTGCATCTCATAGATTGCCGCTCTGTTTCATTGTTGTCGTTGACGTTATTAAAAGAAAAAAAGGGAGAAAAGAAAATGCAACACTGCTACAGTCTTTCAGTATGATTCTACAAATGTCTTTTTGCTGTGAAATCTTTAATGATAAACGCGAGAACAACTTCTATATTGTTATATTTTGTTAGCTTTACTTCATTATCCATACATCAATCTGTGAGTCTTAAATATGATCACCAGGATTTTGAGGAAGATGTGTTTGTTCATCTCTCAATCATCCTTGTATTTCATTGCATTATATGTTTATAATAAGACAATATTTTTGGCAGATATTTGACGACTGATATTTATATGCATTTTATGGAATAAGTCTACTATGTTACGGATGGTTATGAAGAGCTCAAGATTAATACCTGAATTTCTTACCTTCTAGCCATATAAATATCAGCATCTGCACCAATTTCATATTTTTGGGACTTTGAGAAAAATGTTTTTACCCCCTCCATCTTCTCACTATTTCATACAATGAGATATAAAAGCCTGATGTAATGTAACAGAAACATAAAACACATATGCAAACTTTTTTTTATATTCTGCTTAGTACTTACATTTTCTATAAATGTTCCAGATTTTTCTGCATGCACCACTTTCCAAATGTTCTGTATATTGTAATTATTACTTCAGTTAGCTCATTGTTTCTCCCTACAATTAATACATGCGTGATTTGTATTATCTTAGACCTGTACATTTCTAAAATATGGACATTACTTGGACACAGTCATCTCTGATTACAGATTAGACATGCACAAGCAAACGATATACAAATAAATGTGAATTAAATTGAACATGAACACTTGGTCTTACTGTGGGGACTTACTGGGGTTTAGTGAGCTCTCAAAACCTCACGTACATTAGTTTAGTCACGTTCATAAAGAATACAGGTGTAAGAGCTCAGAAAACAGAAAAACAAGCTTGTGTAGCATTATGTAGAATTAATAACGAGGTTCATTCACGGGGAAGATCAGCATTAAGTTGGCAAATAATGTCTCGACTGTCTCATAATCCAACCAAATGTCATTTGTTGAATGTACACGTTTGTATCTGTGATTATGATAAAGATGTTTAATGTTTGTTTACTCACTCTCATCCTGCGCGCGCACCGAACTGACCCACGACAAGACGAGCAAAACCAAACATTCTCTCTTCAGTGGCATTTTCACGGATCAGTCCAGTTCATAAACACGCTTTAGCAGCGATCAGACGCTCAACTCATGTTGAAGCTTCACATTTATCCTCCGGAAGTGTCACTCACTCCTGTACAGCGGTACAGTGCAACAACTTTTGAGAGAAACGAGCGAGCGTTTCGCCTGCAGTCTAGCTGTAGTGCGCAATGCGCAGGCGCGACTGAATTGGCATCACGTGATCTCGCTTTGACCTCTGCGTCGGCGGCGGAAACGGAAAAGCAACGAGAACGCGCCAACATGGCGGACAGGCTAACGCAGCTTCAGGATGCTGTTAACTCTGTAAGACTAATTTATACGTTTATTTCATGAATTATAAGTTTCAGCAGACGGCGAATATCGTCAAATCATATTTATTCTATAGTCTAGTTCATGAAGTCATATCATGTGTAAGAAGTCATATTAATCTACTGCAGCGTATGAAGGTTTTAGCATAGCATTCCGTTGAGAATGAATAAACAATTAAAGTTTGCAAATTAATTTGGTTAGAAAGAATGTAATACTTTAATTAAATTAATAGGTGTCATTTTAAAGTATGTTTTAATGGGTAATGTAAAGGTAATACTAGCTCAAGTGGGATTAAAATGCCATTCTTAAATTTACATTGAGTTAAATAAATGCATACACCTGGTATACAGTCTGTTTTGAATGTACAATTATTTCGTTATTTATTATTATTATTCGTTTGTGAAATGCCAAAACATTGTTTCTTTTCTTAGAGTGTTCTTAAAAGTCTTTTGTCATGTACTATTGTTTATACATAATATATATATAAAAAAACAAAACAACAAAAAACATGGTAACACCTTACAATAAGGTTTCATTTGTTAACTTTATTTAATGTTGTTAACTAACAATAAAAAATATTCCTAAAGTGTTTATACATTTTGCTTCGGCTTATTCAATTGTAATTCCAACATTTACCAATACACAATAAAATCAGAAGTTGTGTCTGTACTATAAAAATGTATTGTTAATGTTAGTTTAATTAATGCATTAACTAATGCTGCATTATTTTAAACATTCACATTCATATAAGCAGTAAGCAATGACGTCAACAAAATGCACATCTGTGTTGCATGCTTGCGTTCCATGTGTTTGATTTATTGCTGTGATATGTGTGTGTTTCAGCTGGCTGATCAGTTCTGCAATGCGATTGGAGTCCTGCAGCAGTGCGCACCCCCGGCCTCGTTCAGCAACATACAGACCGCCATCAACAAAGACCAGCCCTCAAACCCCACTGAAGGTGCACACACACATCGAGTAACCCCAGAGAGCACAGACTGGACAGTGGGGCGGGGTGACACATTTAGTCTATTGGTTTATAATACAGCAAAATTATTGGCGTAGATGCTTGAGACTTGAGCATGCGCATTCCTTTATGTATTTATGAGTTTATGAATGATCTACACGCTGTTTGGCCGTACTATAGAAATATTAAGTTGCAATTTCAGCAACGATCGGATCAACTGCATAATGTTAACTTTTGATGAACGTGTGCATCAAGTTACTGTCAATTTAGTTGTATAGGACTCATTTCACATAGTTTCAAAGCAGCTTTACAAAAAGTCTAGTATTATATTGAGCAGTTTTATGGCTAGGAGATATCACGAAATATTTTGCTGATTAATGATACATTGTTTGAGATTTAGCCTAACTATACTATTGTTTTAATTTACCCTGCAGATAATTCAGTGCTTTCAGTGGGCGATGAGCATGACTGCATGAAATTACTGGCATATCAAAGGAGAGATCATTTCCAAATAGGCTGATACAGACAATATTTTTAGGGATCCGTAATTTAACATCATTCGTTTATGCTTCTTCGTTTTTCCATTAGGATCAGTGAATAAACACAAACTCGAGATTTTACACAAATTATGATAATTCACTGTATTTCAGTAAAACATCAGATAAATATTTATATAAATAATATTTATTTATTTTATTTTAAAGCAAAACCACGGTGACAAATAAGATGATAATAGGCTATCAAATAGCACACAAGCCCTGGCCTTTGGGTTTTGTGTGTACCGTGGGAATAAAAACCTCACAGTGCTGAAATGTGAAAATAAATAAAAACATTTTTTTACTAAAACAGATGTTATGTTGATCTATAGAAAATATAATTATGATTTATGTTCTTATCACTTCTCTGCTGGACATTTTATTTATTTTATTGTATTATTTATAATTGCACAGATTTACAGCAGTGGGGTTTTTATGTTTATGCAGCTAGCCTATATGTGAGTGTTAATATTTAAAAACCATTTTTATCCTGTAGCCTGTACGCAAATTAAAACATGAACACAATGAGATTAATAAATAATTGGATTTTTAATATACCTGATGTCACAGTCACAGATTGTCCTACATGTTAACCGGTTGACACTTATTAGAAAACATCTTTAAAAACTATAGCATATGGCTTTACAGAACCAATATATAGGCCCTCATGTTTTATTAACGGGTAAACAAGGAAATGCGAGTCAATTAACAATAAATAAAACATTAGCCAATAGATCTTAACTAAAATTACCATGGTAAACCGATAATAAGATATGATTAAAGTTAGCTTTTAATATTTCTTTAAAGGAGTAGTTCACTTTTAAAAAAAAACTTTTGCTGATAATTTATTCACCCCCATGTCATCCAAGATGTCCATGTCTTTCTTTCTTCAGTCGAAAAGAAATTAAGGTTTCTGATGAAAACATTCCAGGATTTTTCTCCATATAATGGACTTCAATGGGGTCCAAACGGTTCAAGGTCAGCAAAAGTTTTTTTTAAAAGTGAACTAATCCTTTAATACGGAAAAATCATTTACAAAATCGTACATAAAGGAATGTGCATGCTCAGACCTAAATCGTCTACACCATTAAGAATGCGGTATTATAAACCAATTAAATTGGGCGTGGACGGAGCGACGTGTTGCCCCGCCCCATCATCCAGACTGCACTGGGGTACTTGCACACATCTGCACCAAACATCAAGGAAATACTGTGTTGTTTAGCTGACATGTCTGTCGTGTGTTCTAGAATACGCTCAGCTGTTTGCCGCACTGATAGCAAGAACAGCAAAAGATGTTGACGTGCTGATCGACTCTCTGCCTAGTGAAGAATCTACAGCTGCACTGCAGGTACATTTATGTGAATAATTATCCACTTTTTTGAAACAAGCCTACTGCAATTTATTCTGCTTCATATTCATCTTTCTTTAGTGTGTAATGTTGAGGTTTGAGCATGAAAAAGCTCTGCAAAGTTACAAATATTCTCCAGATCAGTGTTTCTGATCTCCCTGAAACGCCTCCATTGTAGTCTTGAGTTTCTTTTTAGAATGAACATGTCACAATATTACTCATTATAATAATTCATGTGCATAATAAAGGGGCGGGGCCTGGTTGAGTTGGTTAGTAGTGTGTTAAACTGGTGGTTATGGTAACAGCCGTTTCCCAAACACACTCGTAATGCTCGACCGATCACAACACCAATCATCCAGCCGACCAATCAGAGTACAGTGTGCTTTTCAGAAGGCGGGGCTTCATAGAGACAGGAAGTAAACAGAGCGTTACTGACAGACTGGGAAGAGAGGATCAGACTGGCAGCTTACAGATGCTTGAGTATCATCAGCGAGTATAACGTGTTGCCTGACACTCTCGCTGCAAGAAAATTAATTTTTGAATTTAATTAATGATTTTCCCGTGGCAAAATAAAAAAATTAAGCTTCTGTAATTTGGTTGATTTGACAATGAATGACCCAATTTTATTCCTTTTCTCTGCATGTCATGTGATCCGTCGTCTCCCTCTTGTTTCCCAGGCTGCCAGTTTGAGGCAGTTGGAAGAGGAGAACCAGGAGGCTGCGGCTCGTCTGGAAGAAGTGGTTTACAGAGGAGACATGTTACTAGAGAAGATCCAATCAGCGCTCGCAGACATCGCCCAATCACAGCTTCGCACACGCAGTGGTGCCCCGAGTCAGCCAACACCCCCAGAGTCCTGACACGGACCTGCCACAACCAAACATGGACTATATCATCTGTACACAGCAGGGATTTTATACTCCTCCTTCAGCAACTGCAGGAGATCTTGTGTTAAATGTACAGTTTGTTTCTGGACTGAAGAATGATTCTGATTTCATTCTGTACGGCAGAGTAAGTGCCCACTGTTTCCCATCGCATATGTTTATTATGTGACATCCGGCATTGTTTTTTACCTGATAACATTATATGTTCAGCGTCCATCAAACAGCCCCTTTCTGCAATTAACAGTCAGCGGCAGGGTAAGTTGGTTTTTTGTATATTTAATGATTTTTTTTGTCTTTCTGGGATCATGCTGTTTTTGTTTTTTTGTTTTTTTTTTTAAAGGAATTTGGTCTTTGTGTTTAACCAATAAAATATGGTTGTATAAAGAGCTTGTTATTCATTGCTAATTGAATTGGGAATGTGGTAATTTGTTGCATGCAATGACATTATCACTGATGGAGTGAAGAGACTATTCTTTGAAAACAAGATTCATACAAATGATGTCTAACACACACAACAGATCTAAAACCCTATTCTTATTTTTGTTCCTATCACTATGTATCCAACTGAAGTTATTTTGGGAACAAATGCTGAAATTGTAGGGGTTATATGCTGTTCAAAAATTGGAAATATTACCTTTGATATTTTTGTTTAAAGTGTACTACGGAAATATTTTTTTTACTGTATATATTATTTACTGTTATTGTGAGTGTTGCCATTTGCCGGTCATGAGTGTGCTAAAACAGACTTTATGTCGTCTTCGTGGTGATAGAGAGCTTCAATGTTTAAACAGTCTTTTCCAGTAAATTAAATCTTGCAATAATGTTAATAAATAAATTTAAAAAACGTGTGCCGCAGCCATGCTGATTAGCGCATGACGTTTACGTTTTTTTTCCCAATAAGAGCTCGTCTATTTTAGAACGTCATTTTGGCGTCGTCGTTCGCGAAGTGGGGAATTTTCCAGAACACTAATGAAAATGAGTCATTGACGAGGTAAGTCTACAGTACAGAATATTATTGTTATTACCATTTATAACTAGCAAAATATTAAGAAAGAATTTCTGACGAATATTTAAAACATTCAAGCCTTTTGGGAGGTAAACTGAGATCGTTCCTTCTAAAACGTTTAACTATTCCTTTCTAAACCATATATATATATATATATATATTAATCGGCGAAAACATATATCAAACTTTAGATTGTAAAAACATGTAGATTTCTGACTTTCTGAAACATTTAATCGTAATCGTAATACACAACTTTTGAATTTGAATGGTCGTTGAAATAGAATCACGTGATGTAGTTACAGGAGAGGTTAACGGGTGCTGTAAAATAAGTCAGGTGTCAGTCAGGTGATATAAATGTACCTGGCTGAGACTAAAATGTATTTTTACTATATATGTATTGTGCTTCACAATTGTATTGTGTTTGCACAATTTACTGCTTTATGTTGTATTACTTCATGCTAAATGCTGTATGTACTCTGGTAACTGCCATATAAGTTAATACATTTTATGTTAAATAAACACCAGGGCCTATGTCATATATGCGCTCATTAAATCTACACACAAGGTTGAATGACTGTAAAAGCTGACTTGACTTTAGTGTACGGTTAATTAAGAGTAAGCAAGTAGGCTGTTATTTTTTCCTACCTCATATTTACATTATTGTTTTGTGTTCATATTGCCAGAAAATAACTTTTGTAATAGAGCTGGAAAGTGTCAGATGATGGTATTCATAATCTCTGCATTGGTTGTGTCTGTAAATCCTAATTTGTCATTTAGACTTGTGAATAAAAGCTGAACTTCTTAATTTGAATGTTTCATCTAGAGTTTCAACTAGAGTCTAGTTTTGTCATGTTCTCAGTCAAATGTGTTTGCTGACTCCTCAATAAATTGTCAGATTTTATTTAGAGCATTATTATTATTTATTATAATGATGAGCATGTCAATTTCCTCAGATCAAACATTTAGATTTTATTGTGAGAGAGTGAACGGGAGATACACAGTACAAAAGGTTTTGAATCCACTCATTGAAGAAAAAAAAAAATTATTAACAAAGTCCTCAGTAATTGTGAATCTGAAACAAATCTGTAAGGGTTAGTAATGCAATATTAATCACCTGTCAGAACTCATTGGGTTTTTCAGAAATGCCTGAAAGAAGAAGTGTGAGTGTGCATGGTCCAGTGGCTCAGTGGTGTCAGTGTTGTGGTTCCATGTGGGAAACATGGGTTCAAGCCTCACTCTTATGCTTCTTTAGTTTTGTCGGGTTTGTCCGAGAGAAAAGAAGACATGCTCACAATAAAAGAAGTGCAAGTGTCGAAGGTCCAGTGGCTCAGTGGTGTGAGTGTTGTGGTACCATGTTGGAAACATGGGTTCAAGCCTCACTCTTATGATGCTTTGCTTTAGTTTAAAACCCCCAAAAAAGATATGCCCCCAAAAAAAAGCATGGAGAGTGTGAAAGTGCCAGTGGCTCAGTGGTAATGAGCACATCCTTCCTGTGTGGAGGACCTGGGTTCGAATCCTGGGCTGGGGACTGAAGCAAATGATGGTTGCAGGTGGGCAGGATGTGAAGATTGGAGGGGCCAGCTGGAGGAGGATGACTGAAGAGTGTGGAGTGGATTATCCAGGGTGAGAACTGTATAATGGATTATCTAGGGTGAGTGGGATTTTTCTAATAAAGTAATGTTTAATTTATCTCTTCATTTTCTTTCTCCAAAATGGGATTTTGGTTAAGTCGAATATCAAAAACGCCTCTTGATGCAGCAACATCGCTGCTGGATATTGTCTCAGAAATCCCCGGGGGGAGGAGTTAGGTGATTTCCTCCCCCCTTCGTGTCCGACCGTCTCTCGTCCTCCAGTCTGATCCGATCGCTCCCAATGCTTGTCACGGATCCAGATCTGGAGGATGTTCGTCAACGCAACCATGCTTCAGTGTCCAGCCTGGTCTTGAACCGGGAACCTCCTGACCGAGGAGTGTGAGCTCACACCACTGAGCCACTGGACAATCCACACTCACACTTCTTTTTTTGGGAGCATGTCTTCTTTATTTGGACCAAACCGGTGAAACAAGAGTTTTACCAACAAGAGACTCGAACCGGGATTCTCCACACGAGAGAGCGACGCTCACACTACTGAGCCACTGGACCGTCCACACTCACACTTAATTTTTTTGGAGCATGTCTTTTTCTCTCTTGGACAAACCCGGTGAAACTAAAGCATCATAAGAGTGAGGCTTGAACCCAGGCTTCCCACATGGAACCACAACACTCAGACCACTGAGCCACAGGAGCTTCCACACTCAATCTTATTTTTTTGGGAACATGTCTTTCTTGGACAAACCCAGTGAAACTAAAGCATCATAAGAGTGAGGCTCGAACCTGGGAGTCACACATGGAACCACAACACTCAGACCACTGAGCCACAGGAGCTTCTTCATTTCAGCGTTTCTGCTTGTCTCAAACAATCAAACTAAAGTATTTTCCACCGCAAAAGGGAGATTTGAACCGGGATTTTCAACACAGAACAGCAACGCTTTTACCACTGAACCACTTACAGTTGTAACAGTTGGATGTCGTTTTTGAAGATTGGTCTTTTATTTGGACCAAACCAGTGAAGCTAAAGATTTTCACCATCAAGAGACACGAACCTGGATTCTCCACACGAAAGAGCAACACTCACACCACTGAGCCACTGGATCTTCAACACTCACACTTCTTTTATTGTGAGCATGTCTTCTTTTCTCTTGGACAAACCCGACAAAACTAAAGCATCATAAGAGTGAGGCTTGAACCTGGGATTCCCACATGGAATCACAACACTCAGACCACTGAGCCACTGGAGCATCCACACCCATGGTCCTTTTTTTGGGAGCATGTCTTAATTATTTGTATAAACCCAGTGAAACTAAAGCATCATAAGAGTGAGGCTCGAACCACGGAGTCGCACATGGAACCACAACACTCAGACCACTGAGCCACAGGAGCTTCTTCATTTCAGTGTTTCTGTTTGTCTCAAACAATCAAACTAAAGTATTTTCCACCACAAAAGTGAGATTTGAACTAGGATTTTCAACAAAGAAGAGCAACGCTTTTACCACTGAACCACTTACAGTTGTAGCAGTTGGACGTCCTTTTTGAAGATTGGTGTTTTATTTGGACCAAACCAGTGAAACTAAAGATTTTCACCATCAAGAGACACGAACCTGGATTCTCCACACAAGAGAGCAACACTCACACCACTGAGCCACTGGACCTTCGACACTCACACTACTTTTTTGGGGGAGGGGCATGTCTTTTTTTTCTTTTCAACAAACCCGACGAAACTAAAGCAAAGCATCATAAGAGTGAGGCTTGAACCCATGTTTCCCACATGGTACCGCAACGCTCACACCACTGAGCCACTGGACCTTCGACACTTGCACTTCTTTTATTGTGAGCATGTCTTCTTTTCTCTCGGACAAACCCGACAAAACTAAAGAAGCATAAGAGCGAGGTTCGAACCTGGGATTCCCACATGGAATCACAACACTTAGACCACTGAGCCACTGGAGCGTTTCTGTTTGTCTCAAACAATCAAACTAAAGTATTTTCCACTGCAAAAGTGAGATTTGAACCAAGATTTTCAACACAGAACAGCAACGCTTTTGCCACTGAACCACTTACAGTTGTAACTGTCAGATGTCCTTTTTGAAGATTGGTCTTTTATTTGGACAAAACCAGTGAAACTAAAGATTTTTGCCATCAAGAGACTCGAACCTGGATTCTCCACACGAAAGAGCGACACTCACACCACTGAGCCACTGGACCTTCAACAATCACACTTCTTTTTTTGGGGGGCATGTCTTTTTTTTTCAACAAACCAGACAAAACTAAAGCAAAGCATCATAAGAGTGAGGCTTGAACCCATGTTTCCCACATGGTACCGCAACACTCACACCATTGAGCCACTGGACCTTCGACACTCGCACTTCTTTTATTGTGAGCATGTCTTCTTTTCTCTCGGACAAACACGACAAAACCAAAGAAGCATAAGAGTGAGGTTCGAACCTGGGATTCCAACATGGAATCACAACACTCACACCACTGAGCCACTGGAGCACCCACACTCATGATCTTTTTTTTGGGAGCATGTCTTCATTATCTGGATAAACCCAGTGAAACTAAAGCATCATAAGAGTGAGGCTCGAACCACGGAGTCGCACATGGAACCACAACACTCAGACCACTGAGCCACTGGAGCTTCTTCATTTCTGTGTTTCGGTTTCTCTCAAACAATCAAACTAAAATATTTTCCACTGCAAAAGTGAGACTTGAACCAGGATTTTCAACACAGAACAGCAACGCTTTTACCACTGAACCACTTACAGTTGGACGTCGATTTTGAAGATTGGTCTTTTATTTGGACCAAACCAGTGAAGCTAAAGATTTTCACCATCAAGAGACACAAACCTGGATTCTCCACACGAGAGAGCGACACTCACACCACTGAGCCACTGGACCTTCGACACTCACACGTCTTTTATTGTGAGCATGTCTTCTTCTCTTGGACAAACCCGACAAAACTAAAGAAGCATAAGAGCAAGGCTCGAACCTGGGATTCCCACATGGAGTCACAACACTCAGACCACTGGAGCACCCACACTCATGGTCCTTTTTTTGGGAGCATGTCTTCATTATTTGTATAAACCCAGTGAAACTAAAGCATCATAAGAGTGAGGCTCGAACCTGGGAGTCGCACATGGAACCACAACACTCAGACCACTGAGCCACAGGAGCTTCTTCATTTCAGTGTTTCTGTTTGTCTCAAACAATCAAACTAAAGTATTTTCCACCACAAAAGTGAGATTTGAACTAGGATTTTCAACAAAGAAGAGCAACGCTTTTACCACTGATCCACTTACAG